TTTTTTTTTTTTTTTTTTTCTCTCTTTACGAAAGCTGTGGAAAAGCTGACTAACCAGTGGGCGTTGTGTCCGGTCGGCGTGGAGGAGGGTGGCGGGCTGTTCCGTCTGTTGTTGCTTGTATCGTCCTGCAGCGACAGCGACTCGCTGTTCATCTTGCAGGTTAACCTCTTCAGCACGTCGTCCATCGATCTCTTGCTCGTGACGGTTGTTGCGTTGCTGCCGTTGTTGTTGTTGTTGTTTTGCGTGACGGTGTTGTTGTTGTTGTTGTGATGAGGATGACTGGGGTAATAGGGGTCGACGGTTAAGGGGGTTGGCGGCGAGCCGCACTCCGAGGAGCTGGCCGGTTCCACGACACCACCCGACGACGACGATGTGTTGGTGTGGTGATGGTGGTGATGATGATGGTGATGGTGGTGGTGATGGGGGTAGTGGTAGGAGGCGAGTGCCTCCTGGCTGGACAAAACGATCCTTTGTCGCTTGCTTTGCAGGGAATTGGAGGACGGCGAGGGCGAGTCTCGTAGATCCGGCTCGCTGGTGGTGGCCGGCGACGAACACCCGGACGACTCGCAGTCACCTCCCCTCTGGTGAGGGTAACACTCCTCGATGTCGACGGGGGTGGCGCGACCCTCTTCACCGACGGCTATCTCGCCACCGGGACCACCGGTCACCGACGAGGTCGTGTCCTCCTCCTCCTCGTTGGCGCCTGCCACTGTACCCGTGCCGCCCCCGCCCTCCGATAGCTTCGTTGGTGGTGACTTCCTCTTTGAGGACATCCTCAATCTGCAACGTGACAAACGAAAACCAAAATCGTTAGCTTTTTCACAGCTATCGAGCACTGGCCTGGCGTCGCGTACCGTCGATTTATTACCGTCCTTGGGGGAGAGGAGGGGGGAATTAAGACACGCGAAAGATCTTTGCACTCCTTGCTCTTGCGCGGCGTGTGTCTTTCTATCGCGTGTCACGTGGCCATGGTAGCAAGGTGCAGATAACTTGGTAGGTACTTAATTTTTTGCCTCTCTCTGTTCTTCGCGCGATCGGATACTTTGTTTTCTCGTACTGTGTGTCGCATGGACTGTTACGCAACGACTACAAAGTTGCAACCGTATC